TTTATTTTTATTTATAATATTATATTAGCTATTCATGTCTGAACACAGTATTTTTTTCAAAATTACTGTGTTTAGACACAGTCTTAAAATAATTTGATTAAGATTTTGTTTTCACAAATTTATGCATCATGTTTGGAAAAGCCACAAAACGTAATAATGTGGTGTTAGTTTAATAAAAGTTTTTATTAGTGATGCCATTTGTAACCAACACAAACTGTGGGAATCAGATAATTGCTTTTCACTACATTGTTAACATTGCGGTATCGTACAGAATTCCGATATTAAGCCATTAGTGAATGATAGGTATTTATGGTTAGTTGATTAGAATTATTTTGTTCAATTTCGCAATCATTATTATGCGTGCTATTGCCGACATTTGAAGCCTGACTACTTACTATTTATTATTACTAGACATTCTAGGATCTTCCATATTAGTCATTAATTTCCAACGATCATTAACTCTAAGCACATTTACTTTTTTATCTTTTTATGCAACTTAGAATGGCAAATAAGCTGACGACCTACCTGATGGAAAGTGGTAACTGTTGCCTAAAGACATGCCCCCCATGCGTTGCCATTCCTGAGGACTAAGGGGTTAAAAATCTGTATCCTATAAATTCACTGCCATACTTGAAGGGTGGTACCCATCAAACCGAAACACAGTCATCTAAATTCAACTGTTTCACACATTTTATGATGTATTAATTTCAGAAGATGCCTCGTTTAGAGATGAAACACGTGTCGTAACATGTGTTGTAACAATTTTAGTAATCACTGTCAGTATACTAACCTTTACATTTAATTATATACATGGAGTAATTACATGTAATGATTATATATGATAATGAATATAATGGTGAGTATAATGTTATTGTCTAGTCATAATTTGAGAGCCTGAGCTGTGTGTATATTTGGAATACACGAGTTGGACTCTCAAAGCAAGGATTACATACGTAAAAGTGATCGAATACAGACATGAATAGCATCATAGATACTACAGTTACATACTGCATCATTCCTGTACCTCTTTTGCAGTTCCTGAGAACTAAGGTATAAAACATGTCGTAATTTATAATTTTACTGACTTGTCAAATCATATTTCAAATCGAAACAGCCACACAAACACAGTTTCTAAGCGATAGAAATACAAATGGGACAATGGCACTCATGCAGATTTCTTTTGTACAAAGTTTTGATAATTTTTCTCTCTTCTTTTATTTTGAATCGGAAAACTTCCATCCCATTCCTATACCAACGATAATGGGATATCATTTTGTATTTTCTTTACATAGTAATGAGGATTTCGTACCTTAGGATTCAAAATTCGAATATTATAAACATACAAGAGGGCATAAAAATATTGTTTCTTTTTTTTTCACTGGAAATACTTTAGAGAGTATCTTTAAAATAAAGGTGATAGAAAAATAATAGTCATTAAATTGTCAAGTAATTCCTTTTCTTGACCATATTTTTTATTTACACAATATATTTTAGAAAACACAATATCCGTACAACAAATATTTTGATACAAACCCGTCAAAGACATCGAATACAAACATTTAACCAAATGAATTTATCTGAACAATTCACTGTGATGGTAGATCTATGAAATGATAATGATTTTATAGTACATTGCAAAAATTTTGTGTATATTAAATGTATTATAATAAAAATTTCATCAAATAATGAACTTGATTCACAGTAGTATAAATTGTTTCACTAAAATAACACGTGGTAATTGCAAAAAGAATAAGACAGCATATTACGGTACATGCACCCGTAAATTAGATTTTAAGATATTTGTAAGCGTAGTTATAATGATCTTCCCATTAGTCAAAGTTTATTATATAAAAAATATATATAAAAATAATACGCTTACAAATAAATATGTACAATCTACAGAAAAGATTTCACTAAAAATTTTTTTTGTAATGTAAGGAAACCGCGAAGGTGTCATTTGAAATACTTTTATTTGTAAAATTTTAGATTTTGAGTTTTCTTGTATTATAAGGTTTAGCTCTAAAGCTTTGGTCTTACAATTTTATTATAAACAATTAAATGTTTTTCTAAAATACTTGTCACAATAATAAACAATCTGAGTGCATCTTTTCAACAAAATAACGCAGTACATAAAATGCACAAGGAGTTAAATTAGAAAGGTTTTTTTTCATTGCATTTTGTAGTATATTATCTTTTCTGTTTAAATTCTAAATGATTAAATTTGATAGAAATAAAACATCCTAATGCTAGTTTATTAATTGTGCCCAACGTAGAAAAACAGCTTATAAATAAATAACTTTAAATAAAACTGGCATCATGTAGGTAACTTGGTTTAGAACCTATTTCATATTAAGACGTCAAAACGTAATCTAGATAATAACAATAACAAAAAAAAAAGAAAACTATGAGTTATTCTTATATAATGTATAAAAATTAAACAATAGGCTTTGATTCCATAACTACATTTCTGATCATGCATTTAATCAGTGGAAGACCATAACTGGCAGACATAGAATAAAACTTGGCAATTATTATGATATTATCTGATTATTATAAAATATTTAATCTTATTATATTTATTTCTTTTTTTTAAACAATTCCTAAAATTAATATTAGAAGTAAAAAACAAATCCATTCATTTATAAAAGTTATGTTAATTAATAAACAATGACTATTTAATTAGACATTCAACGTTAATTTTATAAAATAAAAAACGTTTTTCCTTATTTTATTTATTGTTACAAAGCTTTAGAAAGTAAACGAGTTTGATGTAAAACTTACTAAAATACATATTAAATAAATGTTTTAATTTATTTATTTTGTTTAAAAAATTAATCTTGAATATATTTTTAGAGCTGTATTTTAGTATTTTAAATCATACCTTTGATTGTATCATACCACGACACTTTGACAAAAACATCAATATCTTAGATATTTATTTTAAAACTGTACGTAATAGTGTTTATATATATATATATATATATATATATATATATATATATATATATATATATATATATATATGTATATTTATTGAATATTTTGTATGATTAATGTGCACTAGTTGTATTTCATAAAGAAATTAAAAAATAACTTGATAAAAATAGTACAATGTGTTTTCATTTTCTTCTAAAACAAAAATATTTTTATAGAAACAGGTTAACATACATATTTACGGCTGTATTTTATATTAAAATGTCTTTGGTTATATCTTACATATTATTTCAAAAATACTATGACAAAAATCACATTAATTTAATTTTTTTTTTCACGAAACTGAAATGTATTATATTTTATAGACACAGCCAAAACTTTTCGAAAAAATGAATAGTTGCAAGTAGGTGCATAATCAAACAACGAAACACGAGAAAGCAATAAATTCATACAGAATCACACATTATGTTATCACTCCACAATGTACAACAGCTATTGTGGTTGGGTTATATAAATAATGAATCCAATAGCATGGTTCGTACACAAGTATACTTAATTTGAAGTTCTGATAGAAAAAGTCCTATCCTTTGATCACTAAAAAAAAAAAAAAAATATAAAAACACGTATAATTTTTTTTTCCTTTATTAACTTTTTTTTTGACCTGACAGGAAAAGGAGACGAAGTCCATACAGCCTAGTCTGACGTGCAATTTCCTTTTTAGCTAGATATTCTGTTCTATATAACCGTGTTCTTAAATAATAAATAGATTAACTTTTCTTAATAATTCTCTAGTGCAATGCGCGAAAATTTTATTGTATTAGAATTGATTTTCGTAGTTTATTTTTCTGTGCCATGAAGGCAGGATAGCTGAAGATTCTGTGGTCTGTGTGGAAGTTTGGTCATGTTCATGAAACCAATTATATGTAGGAGACTAAATTATTTTTTATGGTTCTATTTTTTTTTATAAGGCAAAGGTACTAAATCTATACAGCTATTGTCAAATAAAATTTAACAGTAAAATAATGTAATTGAAAAATAATTGTTTATAAATTCTACAAATATATGTTTGTAATTTGATAGAATCAAGAATAAAATGTCAAAACTATAATTATAGATTATAGTTTTGACATTTTATTCTGAATCCTTGAGTAAATTTCAAATTTCTTCGGTTTAATATCTTAACATCGCAGAATTACTTAGTTGAAAATATATTTTTTTTGTAAGAGTTAAAAAAATGTAGACAATACATTACAATACTTATTTTTTGAAAGAAGTTAAAATTGAAGGATAAATTTCTAATTTCTTTGATGTTTACATTAACAATGCTATTGAATTCATTTTCTCGTCATAATATACTCGTACAACAATACAAAAATACTTTCACGTTAGACAATTTTGTATAACATCGAAAATACATTTAGATAGACTGTCCATTGTTTGGATATTGATCGTAAAAAAGTACACAGTATGTACACTAAATGGTAAGACGTAACAACAAGGTAACGGTTAGAATAGAGGATTATGATAAATACAGGCACATTCATAGTCGGGATCCTATGTATAAAGTAGATATTGTTTTACTTATTAAGTATTCATAGTGCTTCAAACTTTGATTCGCAGAAATGCTGTCTTGGAAGTTTAAGCAATATGATTAATTTTTATATGTTGGAACAACTTCACAAAATATAAACCTTTATACATGTATCATGAGTCGTCGTTTTACGAACATATTATATTTTAATAATATATAATCTCGTTTATGCATGTAACAAATATATGAATGATTTATACACAACTCATGCTCCATACATTGTATATTATTATCATTACTCTTACAATGACATTCATGCCGAAAAACATCAAACAGGGGACCAGCCCCTGAATTCATAAGAATTCAAAGAAGTTTCCGAAGCGTCATGTTTTCAAGTACAATTTTCTTTGACAAACCTCAATGAACAGTTCATTGCTATCTAATCTATACTAGCATTTTCTAGAAAACGGAGAAAAGCGCGTTTAACCTCGAGTACTCCACCGCATTGCTGCGGTCGCGCTTAGAGGAGGTACTCTCATTGGTCAGGCCGGTCGAAGGAGGTATTCGGTGTACTCTCCACTTTTTTTAATACGATCTTAAAAGCAAATGTATGTTTAGGAGAAACAGAAGCTGGTCTGGGTGTTTGTGGTGAACGCGGCGGAGGATCAGGTGGCATTTCCGAACGAGTTCTAGAACGACGAGGTGGGTTACCTCTTATTATGGGTGCTGACTGTGGCTCTCTTGGTTGAGGTGAAAGTCGGTTCGGAGATAAACGACTTGGTGATGCCTCTGGAGTGGACGGTGGTAGCATTAGTGGGGGTAGGTTAGCGCACGGTGACCCACGGGAGCCTCGGCGTTCTTTTAATCCCATCGGCGGAGGAGGGGACGCTGGTACCTCGTCTTCAGCAGCCGCAACAACAACAACTGGTTCAGTCCTCGCCAAAGGCGCCTTCGGCTCACCCGCATCCGATGCCACTGATCTTCTGAAGTAATTCAAACCATTCTCTATTTCAGCTAATGCACGTCTCACGAATGGAAAACTTTCGGAGATTTCTGAAGTGGATTTACGAACGGGAAATTCGGTTTCGCTATCACGTTTTCTGGGTCTGCAACGTTCGAAAGTCGGGTCTCCAGACGCAGCTACTGTTTCAGAAATTTGTCTAGTAAGAGCAGCATGTTTTATACTGTCCGACTTGGATCGCGGTTCTCTAATTTTTGGTGTTGGAGAGCGTCGGTCACCAAACTTTTTGCTGGCAGCACGTTTGATAGACGAGAAGAGCCCGAGTTTCTCTGGCTGCTTATCAGGTTTTTCTGGTGGTTTATCCGGAGCAGAGAGAGGGGCGACAGGGGCGGTAGAGGGGCCGGGGACGGGTTCGGATATAGGATAGGGGAAGTTCCCCTCGCGTTAGTTGTGCCGAGAGTCCGAAGACGGAACATCGCTCGAGCCGGTGGAGGAGAGGGTTGTGTTGGACCCATAGGGGTCGAGTGAAGATTGCACGGACATAGAACGACCAGCGCGGCGCACTCGAGCCGGGGACAGCTTTCCTGGATCTATGCTGGCCGGGTCTGCCTGCAACAACAGCGTTTTCAGCACTCTACTCAATGTTCTACATCAAAGCATCAAACTTATACACACATGCAAATTTAAAAACTACAAGTTGTAAGCAATACATTCATATATGATATATATATATAAATACTATAATTAACAGAGGTAAAAATATAAATATTTTACTTTTATTAATGGTGTAATAATCATACATTTCTCGTGTAGGAAATTATGACTTAGAAAATGGGATATTACTGAATATGGGATATTATAATTATTTTAACTTTTTTTTTGTAACATTATTTTCCATATTTCAATTATTGTAGTTCTTTTGTTTTATAACGCTTTAATTAATCTATAGTATACCAATAATGTCAATTTAAACACTATAGAAACCTTCTCTTTTCAAATAGATTATGATAAATTATTTACGGTACATAAAAATTTATATAAGTTTTTAAAAATTAGTTATATGGTAATAAATGTGCAATGAATATTAGATTTTACTTACCAGCCTATGAAGGAGACTTATAAACAAAATAGATTATATACATATGATATTTACAAATTTTATATTTTATTTTATAATTTTATTGTATACTATAATTAAATTAAAATGAAGTACCATATTTAGCAAGAAAATATCTATAATGGAAATAACTTTATATTATAAATAATATATATTATTAATATATTTAAAGATAAAATAACTATGCACGAAGATTTTCTATAACATTAAACATTAATTAAAGATTCACATAAACCAACAATTAGAAATAATAGCAAGTTACGTATATTTCACAGCAATTTATTTATTTATTTTATAACAACTAAATGTTAGTACATACAGAGGCTATATTATTTCTTTTTGATTGGATAGGCGATCTTTAAGAGTATTTACACCGTAACCTGACAATGTTTGCATTACCGTCAATTTAATGAAATTCAAATATAAAAGTGCTCCAATAGAAAATGTAAAATAAAATTGTTTTTAAACGGTTTTATTTTTTATTGAAATATTACTAAAGTTTTTGATTGTGATAGTAATATAGTATTTGCGAACTTAAGAAGCAAAATAAAGTACCCACTTGTTGCTATATTTTGTTTTTGTAATAGATTTATGTGCAATTTTTGAATATATATTTTAATGTTAAAAGTTTATTTATTTTAAAATATTTTAAAACTCATATATGTACCAATAACTATTATTAAGCAATTAAAGTAAATAAATATATAAGTTTATTCTTTTTTTAGTTTCTATAAAAGAGAACTTTAAGTATTCTTATATTAACTTACTCTGTCCGTGCAACTGAGCACATTTGCCAAATAAAAAACCAAATTGTGCGAAATAAAAAACCAAAAAACATATCATGTTAGGGTGGTAGGCTCAAATTGTTCATTTACTGACTCATGTTTTTTTGGGAAAAGTATTAATTTTTACTGATACAACATTCAAGGATTGTTTAAGTATATTAATGATTTCGATTACATTGTTATAATGTTAATTAATTAATAATTTGTATATGTATTATTTTTTTCATAATTGATAGATAATGCAATCATTACTAGTCCGGTATGAACGAAATATCCAATACTTCGACGACATCGCACCTGATACGCTAGAGCGTTCATGATGATGGAGTACGGAACCAAGCCTAGTGGGTGAACTTCTCTCATTAGAACATTGGCAGGGATCTTGTGGAACTGAATGTACTCCAAAAAGTTACCGATGACATCCTTAAGTGACATGTTAGGGTTGGTGTCGCAGTATTTTTTGCTCCACATCAGTGCTGCCTGGAATTTCATTTTAAACAATTAAATATTTTTATCTAATATATGTATATATGTATGTGCGTAAAAATGCCTTTTATTATGTTGACTATTTAATAATGTTAGTATATTTTTAGAAAGGGAAATAAATTACAATGGCTGACATGAACTACCAAAAAAAAAACAAAAAGCCTGTTCTCCGTTGTTTATTTTGCAATTCTCATAAATATATATAAATCAATAACTTTTTATTAATACTAAATTTTAATTCCATAATATATTTTTAAGTAGGAATATTGTTTCCGTTTTGCAATAATTACTCTATATTTTCTTTTTTTAAATTAATTTATTTTTCGTAAAATTAACAATCAATTATAATGAAATTATTAATAACTACATTTAGTAATTTTAATATTCTTATTACAAATAAAAATAATTAGCTATATCCCACGATAACATTTTTATGTAACTTACAATGAACAATTATCATATCTCGATTTAGGACTTGGTTTGTCTGTATACCAAATATCATTCAAATCTATAAAGCCATTTAATCGTGATTGAGTAACAAGCGTATACATTTTTTAGATATTTTTTGAATAATATATTAGGAGAATCGATTTATATAATTAAAATTTACCTGAAATTTAGTAAACTCGTCAGCTCTAAGCTCGTCTCTCGCTAGAATTAGCCTTACGACGTGTTGTGGTAACAAAGTGAATGATCCCAAGTTTAGCACTTCGTTGCCATGCTCGTCGACAAATTCCAACACCTGAATTAAAAAAAAAACATATGTATTCTCTGTTTGAATAAAATTTAATAAAAAGTACCTTAATTAATAAAGAATAAATAAGTTTACGTTTAAATCGAAACGTCAGCAATAAAAATAAGTCATAATAGTATATATAAGTGTGTAACCTACGTACCTGATTTTTATTGCTGACGGTACTATTTACCTGTAACCTTCTTTAAGTCACGATGTGAATTTAAATTAAGTTTATTGACCACGTAAAATATTGAAACATTCAATTAATTGACTTTAGACAGCAAAGTGTTTATGGTCGGGTCAACTAATAATTTTATAACATTCCTATTAAATTGTATTAAAAGTTACTTTTTTCTGTTTATTATTATGCTAATTATATGAAATGAAAATAACATTATTGCCAATGAAAATATAAAGACCTCTTCATTAAATACGAAATTTTATACACTAATAGGAAAGTAAAATTTATACTATTGCCAATGAAAATATAAAAACCTCTTCATACGAAATTTTATATACTACTATTATATTGTAACGATAAAATTGTGATATGCTACGATAAACTATATTTAAGATATAGATTTTTTTTTCTATTATTTTTATGCGATTAAACCTAATTAATATTATTCCATTTAATTATACATATGTGTTACGGTATTGATGCTTTCCTAGACCTATTGGGAGACTGTAAAGCTTATCCAGTTGAGGAAATAAATAAGAAAGCCAAACAGATTTCTGGGGGATTATTGTATACTTTAAAAACCTGACAATTTCTATGTAGGTCAAAAGCAGAATAGAAAATAAAATGCTTTTTAGCACAAAAATTTTGCGGTGAAGCGATTGGAAAACAAGCGTTTGGACTGTAAGGTTTAATTATTATAAATATAGTTTAATACAAAGATTTAAATAATTTGTACATATTTTATTTTTCATGTAAACAGAAGATCAGCATTAAAAAAATCATAATAGTGCGGTCTATAAACATATATTTTTTCATGAACATGTTTTCAGTCTGTAAAAGAATATTTGAGCAATAGACAGTTTTTATTTATGTGTTTATGTCATTTGATTACTATCTCACCTTCTGAACTAAAGATTTAGTGCACTTGTACTGAATGTACCGCTCAGCTGATGCTAGAAGTGCGCAGACGGTGTCAACAGTGATGCAGCATTGCACAAAGCCGGCGCATGCGCGGCGGAGTTCATCGAGACCATAGTAGTCCGCTGCGTTCATCACACCTGTAAATTTACTTCGATGATTATTTCTCAGACTTCAAAACGGAGAAGGATTCCCGATTGAATTTTTGTTTGTATGTTTCATGATATATTCGTCAAATGTAAACCTATGTTTTAGTTTGTCATTCATGTTATTGACTAATATAGGATTATAGAAGCAAACTATAGACTTACATATGTATATATTATTAGTATTGTTCACGAATTCGTATTTATATATACAGTATATAGTTAAATATATAAAGATGGTTTGAAAGATTAATTAATTATGCGAAATTCGAAACGTGTGCGATAATTATTTGTGATTTTATAAATTTATAAATCAAGAATTTAATGTAATTTCTGCAAATAGAACAAATTGAGCAGCGTGTTATCATTACATATCGCCTTAAGAAAGGGGTACACCAAAATGCATCTTCAATAATAAAGTTAATACATTAGGGATTCTACTTCATCATATTCATTCATCAAAATATGCACAGCAAAATTAAAGCGTGGTAAATGGAAAGAGAATGTGAAAGACAAATCCCACTCTGGAAGGCCTTCATGTCCACTAATGATAAATATATTAGAATGGTACTTCATTCGATTATGGAGACCGCAAATTAAAAATTAGAAAGATAGCGAAGATTATAGGCATCTCTTTCTTTATGTGTTACCTCGTAACTCTGTCAGTTATAAACCGAATTAGAAAATTCTTTTTTTATCTGAAAAGATATATTTACAGATTGGTCACATAGAAATTACATCAAAATTTATTCAGTAGTTTAGTTTTTGAATTAAAATATATGGTTTTACTACTGAAGTATTGAAGACGATTTTTTTGTAGAACACAGATGTAAATTATTCTTATTATATTCATAATATTAGTAAAATCTCTTGTTTGTTACGATTGAAATATAAAAACATTAAAATGTTTTATACAATTTCTCTATATTACCTTTTATATTAAACTTGGAATTTAATTGTTTTTAATTGTACGTAATTAAGAAACTTAATCTAAGTTTATAATAATATAACAATTATCTCTTCTTTTTGTTATATTTTGTAGTAATTTTCTTATTAAATTCTATGTGCAATGGAATTTAATAATTTATTTTAAGGCGAATATCATCTTTTACACCTTAATTAAATAATGATAATTTATATATTTAATTATGAACTTATACTATATAATATGCAGTGAAAATGCTTACGGCACAGACACAAAATACAATCACATTCTTATACAAAGTTATAATTAGCAGTGACTCGAATTTTAAAAGAAATAATGATAGCATAATTTAATAGATTTAGTAGACTTGCAAAAATTTTAAATACTGTCATTTATTTTCTTTATTTTATAATATCGATTTTCTCTATTTTTATTTTTCGATTTTACTTGTTGTTTTTTATATCAACGACTTTTAGTATAAAAATTTCAAATTCGATCTACCTCCTTCTATCTGCTTTAAATTAATATTCCTTTAAAAGGATCTTAATGCTTTTAATTTTAGCCTATACTTAACAAAAACGAAGGAATATGCTATTATAATATTGTCAGAATAAAAAATTTATACATGAATTCAGTTCATTCATACACCCACTGTAACTTGCCTACCTCGCTTTGGAATTATAATTTTTTTATATAAATAAAATCCGTTATTGGCTGTATTCATAAGAGACTTAGCATGCAAGTTGTTTTTTAAGCGCTGTGGATTTTTGTATAAAAAAAAAGACCTATACATTGGATTTTGAACATTAAATAGACAAGCTGATAAAAACAGATAAAAGACTTCAAAACAACCATTTATAAAACAACCTGTATATGGCATTTGCAATTATTGAATTAGAATAATACATACTCTATATGTAAATATAGGATATGTTTTATCTATATGACAAATTCCTTTGAAATCCATATGTTTAACCTTTTGACTTTTGACAACACCAGTCGGATTTATTCATCAAATGTTTTCGTGACTGTAATGCCCGTATCGTACTTATTCGACAAAGAACCTGTATTTGTATGTTTGTTTTTCCGTTTATTCACCTGCCTATACTTATGGTATACAGTAAATAAAATAGAGACAATGTATACAATAATATAATTTTAATATTTTTTACTAGATTTTTGCTATTTTGTGTATATTTTAGAAGTAGGAAAACTTTCTTTGAAAAGACTACCTCTAGATGATGTTTCTAGATGCAACATATATTGATTTTAAGTTAAACCTTTAATAAAATAACAGCGAAAACTGTGTTCAATTTGGTGTAATAGTTTTTTCGTGATACAGGAACAAACATATAGTCAGACAAAATTACTAAAAATTGTTTTGGTATCTATTGGTCTTATTTAGATCTCTTATATAATTTTTTCTTAAATATCTATGTACAGATATCGTCTAGTTACAATTTTATTATAATAGTACGATAATACACTTGAAAATAACGTTTCAGAATCGGTTACGTGTATAAATTTTAATAATAAAAACATTTTAAATAATATTACAAATTATTTACTTATTTTATTTATTTAAACTTGAAAGCATAGTGAAATTCTATATACATTTGGTGGACTTAATACAGATAAATAATAATAAGAATGTAAAATAAAAGTTTTATAAATTCGTGATACAAAAATATTATATAGTATATAATATCCCGGCATAGAATGGGCTACCCCTTTTCTTCCCGTAAGTATTATAAGAAGCGATTAAGGGAACTTAATCGGGTAGCAGTATCCTTCTTAAAACATCATCAAAGCCTAACTGAACTGTGGTTGCCAACCCGCCTGCCAAACATAGTAACTACTGGCAAACCTCCCCCCAGTAGGAGGAGATATGATATATTCCTATAACTATTAAGCGATTGAAAAATTTGGAAACGGACGTGATATATATTAAATAATAAACGGAAAGCAGGGAAGTAATAAATATTCAAACTATTTTACACACAAAATTTCTTCATTATCAAGAAACCCGATGAGGTCCCAAAACTCTCAAGGTGTAATATAATTGTCACGCATTTGTGTAGGCGTAAAATTGTTGCTTGGGCAGCTATTTCTATTTATAAACACAATATCTTTATAAAACAGCCTCTTTGAAGAATTAAAATAGCTTTGTATATAAAATTATCTTATCTGCTATTAATCGTGGGAAGACGACATTATTTGGTGTTGAAATTCTAGAACTTTCGTTGTTTACAACAGCCTCCGTCGTGTCTCTCTGCATGATAAAATACTTTTTTATTTGTTGAAAAAAGATATACTTACACATGTTTATTATACTTATATAAACACCCAGATTACATATATAAGTATGTTTATACCTACTTATAAATGTATTGTACACGGATCAAAATGGCAATAATCGGAACTAGAAGCAACACAATGCTGTGAAGAGGTTTTTTTTTTTCTATATTATTTGGTTCGCGATTGGGAAATGAGTATTTAGCTTAAGCGTCTTGGTTGACTTAAGCTGCGATTTGATACAGCATAAATCTCTAATAGCTATTTATTTCTGGCACGCGTAATTTATGTGAAGACGTTTACGCATTGTCGATTTCAATATTGTATATTCTATTTTCAAAAGGACATTTATTAATCTACAACTAAATTTACAAAAGACAAACATGTAGTAAAATTAATTTTATAATACCTTTATAAACCATGTAGTACTTATTTTCACAACAAAATTAAAGTACAAACGTAAATACAATAAAAAACTTTACGCGGGTTATTTTTTCTTTTTTTTTTTAAGAAGATCCGTTCATTTCATAATTAATAACAAGCCTGATTTATCTTTTTTTTAAGAAAAAAAAAACTAAGTTTAACCTGGAATTTTTTTTAGAAAGTTTTGGGACCGAGCATATTGGACGGCCAAAACTTATTTAAATTAAGCAACAGAATCTTAAGATAAAGTTATGGGAAAATTATTCGTTGAATAATATTAAAAGAATTTAAAAGTCTCATCCATATTGAGTAACAAAAAAGTTATAGTAATGAAAGCTAAATAAATATATTGGTTGCTATCAAATGTGGATGATAATGGAATGGTAACTCCGCCTGCGCTAACGGTGTACGCTGGCAGGGCACCAGTGAGGGATGATAGGTGAGAATGAAAAGGCAGGTCAGTTAGCCCATCGTGATGAACACACTTGGAATTCAGCACGATGGTTTCCAGGGGGAACTACGTTGAGGTCGACCTGATAGCGTATATTGTTAGCAATAGGACTGATAGTCCGCATTACTAACAATCCTTTCCCCTCGGTCGCTAGAGTACGTTACTTTATTAGAATTATTTTGTTTAATTCAGATACCATTAGTATGTAGATGGATATTCAACTCTCGAAGATTGACACTATCAGTACTATCTACTATGACTACATGAAATGTATATGAAGGACTACAATGATCCATAATAACCCTCAATTTCCAACTGTATTAAGTCTGCGCCTGAATAGATAATAGTATCAGGACGAGGTAACTTCAAATATATACTGAGAGAAATCTGAAATAATCAGCGTTCTTTTAAGACAGTGTTTCACTAGCGATATTAAACATTTTTTCACTAAACTTTTGAATACGAATACTTTGAGGCTGTTTAAAATAACAACTGGACGTACCGTATTAGCATATTGGCTAAAAACTTTTTGTCTTTTATCAGCTCAGTTTCCTGGGAAAAAATATTCTGTTTTACTGGCACAATATTCCCCTTAGAAGATGCCAATTATTTTTCCCTTAATAATAATAATTTCTCCCTGTATATACGCATGTTACGCGATATCTTCACATTCCTAATATCCGATTCGAATGATTATCGTTTCGATTTTAATATCAGTTTCCGGAATCACTTTTTAATATATCAACTTAAATTAATAATAATTTACATTTTTTTGTAGAGAAGTCTTTCAAGTTAAAAGTAAAGGAAGCGTAGCTAAACGAAACTTAACTGATATTTTAGTTTTTATACCTATTTACTCTTTACATTTGCGAACACTTAATTTTTTTATTTCATTATGCATACAAAATGTATTATTTATTTTATAAACATCAAATTACTGGAAACAAATTTATCACCATAAAATCAGGATATATACATATTTATGTATATCTTAGTCGTTTTTTACGAGTTATTTTAGAGTTGAAAGCAATACAGCCAGAACTAATGGTTTCAATCGATTATTTTAATTTATAACAAGTATAGAAGTGTAGATGGGTATTATTATTTCTGCCTTTGTCCCGTTATCTAGGGTTGGCGCAGTACGTTACCCCTTATCGATCCATATCACTTGTCATAGTGGGGTCCACTCTTCTTTTACGCATATCATCTTCCAGGGACCCATTATCGAGATTGATGTCGGTATCAAGAATTCAAATCATACAAGCCTGCGTATAAGATGGGTAATGTTTTTCGTTGTATATGCCGTGTGTATATATATATATATATATATATATATATATATATATATATATATATATATATATATATATATATATATATATATATATATATATATATATATATATATATAATATATATATATAATTATGTTCAAAGACAAAATTAAAAATACTGTAAATTAAAATTAGTACTTAAAAGTAATATTATAAAGAAAAAGTGTATTTGTGAATTTGTTACCTTTTCAAATTTTAACAGCTTCAACTAATCGTCATGAAATGTATACACAGATTTGTAACAAAGAAGGACATGACCTACTTTTTAGCCCGTTCAATTAATTAGGTCAGTCACACGGGCGAAGTCGCGGGTAAAAGCTATCAACTTACTAATATAATAAATTTGTAACTTGATGATATTTGTATATGAGAGATATTTAAGATAAATTTATATGAGGGTCTTATTTAATAAGACCAGTAGGTACCAAAGCAATAATTTTTATTAAGAATTTATACTACTACTTCTACTTGTCTATCCATCTGTCTGTCTGTCTATCTATCTATATATATATGTGTTTGTTCTGGCATAATATAAAAATTACTGTTCCAAATTAGATGCAATTTCTACAGTTGTATTCCCGAGGGTCTAACTTAAAAACCGATATATATATTATCTCGATATGTCATCTAAAAGTGATTTATTCCATTGGTTTTCCTAATTTTGAAGATTATGCGTACGAAATAGCGGACAAAGTACTAGTACTGTATCATTATATATTTATTTACTAACAGGAAAACCAGGGGTACACTAGAGCAAATAGATACAGTTTAGTATCACAAAATAAGCCACTAACAGGTTTTCTCAAGTAGCTATAATAATATATCTATATGTAATCTCTATAAATATATCTATATCTATTATCTATCCATTCCATTCACCCATTGTAACGTATGTGCCACTTCATGGACTCTCCAGGTGTATCCGGCTCTTGCTCAATTTTCAACCAACTTCAAAAAAGGAGGTTCTCAATCCAGTTTTATGTTTTTTTTTTATATTCATAACCTCATAACTCCATTGTTTGTAAACTGATTTGAAAAATTCTTTTTTTATCTGAAAGAATGTACTTAGAGATTGGTCCCATAAAAATTTTATCAAAATCATATAAATAAATTTTATCAATTCAGTTTTTTTTTTAATCAAAATAACTGCTATTGTTACAATCGGTGTTGTTATTGTTTTTGTGGAACACAATTTTTATCGGTAGTCTATTCATCTACAAGATACTTATAATACGAATGTATCAAGATTATATCAATGTATTTTATTATTTTGTTTAAGAAAAAACCGGACAAGAACTGACGGAAATAGACATTTATTATCTCCATCATTGCTTTGTATTTGCGTCTAAATTTAATAATAAACTTCATTATTAACTTCAGAATAAATAATGAAGTCAATATTTATTCTGTCGAGTAATAAGTAGGTAATAGTCAAACACACTGAGCAGAGATTTCCATGTTTGTTGAATATGAAACCAGAGTTTTATTCAAATTGAATAATGTTCCCAAAAGAATATAGAATCTTATTTTAATTAAATGGTACATTGTGGAAATATTTTGAATAAATTAAATATATTTTTTTTTACATAATAGCTCTAATTATTGCAATGGTAATTAATGGCAGAAAAAGTAAAATTTACTTAAATTATAATTTAAGATTATTAAAAACCATAATAAAAATAATATACACTTACTTGTTCATGAACCCTACATCTCTCTCATGAACGCTAAAAAGCGTATTTACCAGCCCTACAATATTTACGTAGCTAATTCTCCCTCTTCTTCCTCCCCACCCCTTCCATCTGTTCCTTCCAACCTTACTCAGAACAGAGAAAGAAACATATCATAAGAAACCCATTCGGCACATATGTACTGTGGTGGTCAAATGACATCCTGCTATCAGCCATGGATCACACAGTTTTTGTTTTATTGTTTGATGTACCTACTCTAATAATCCACAATATCACCCTACCATATAAGAGTGGTGTAAGGCGTGTCACAGCATAAATCTATGATGATATCGATCAAGTTCGTAGGCGACGGTGACCATTTTCCATTACTTTCCATTAACTTGTGTACTTTTCGAGCTTGTTTACAATACTCAATGGCATAAAAAAACTAAGAGCAGTGAGACTATTAAAACTTCAAATAGAATTAAATTGTCTATAAAACTGTTTCTTTTTTTTTCGTTTTTATGTAGATATTTTTGTTAAGTTATTTGTTCTTTATTGCACAATAAAATTTGTACAAATGACAAACTTAATACCGTATGGCACTCTCTACCAGCTAACCATTAGGTAAAAACAGAAAACGTTTGATGTGTGGTTGCGAACATACATTACACATAAAATTGAATTAACCTATTTATATAAATTGACATAATAATAAATATCATACTAAATAATATTACACGGTATTACACACAATGACTGATATGTAATTATATACCTATTTAATTATTAAGTAATACGTAATTAGAGCTGCATTGCTGCATATTGATTCAACAGATCGTTTTCTTTTGAACATAAGCTTACTTGGTGCCATACGTACATTCACAAGTCTTCTATTCCAGAGGTTAATGACTATTAATTGATTCAATTACTATTGAATTTTTAATTGAAATATATATTTTTTAATCCTAAATCATATTCGTAAAACTCAAACATTTCAAGTAAACTCAAAAAAGATCTATAATTATAAATAATTGAATCGGGATAAAACTGTTGGGACGGATTCGACGACGGACGAAATGGGACAAATTAAATAATAACGGAAACAATCCTATACCATTAACAAAAACAACACTTTTACGAAACAGATATGGTAAATTGCTGGAGTTATATTTAAATTGCGTTCTTTTAATTTATAATTAAGATTTATAAATATATTTTATAATTTTTTTTGCAATAAAAATTTATAATATTAATTTGAATAACTAAGAGAAATTTAAAAATATAATTTATTATTTATTTCATAGTAATTCTTTTTCCTAATAGTAGTAAGAACATAATGTTATATAATAGTCATAAGAGGGTGCTATTAAAACAAAAAACCATACGTAGTACAAGAAAAGGAAAATTCAAAATAAGTCTTTATACCAATCATCATCATCATCTTTATCATCATGTCAGCCATTGTCTCTCCACTGCTGAACATAAGTATATCTCCTCCCTCATAAAGTGCCATAAAAATGGTCCTGAGTCACTTGCATACATTGACTTCCTGCAGTGCATTTGAGGTCGACACTCCATCTAGTGGAGGGGGAGTCGTCCTTCACTGCGTTTATCTGTACGAGATCGCTGACCTAAAACCTCTCCCTTATCAGTTGTCGGTTCTTCGAGTTATGTTACTAGTCCATTTCCACATCAGCTTGCTTGGTTACTTTGGTTCTTTTGCGGATATGTTTTTTTGGATTTCGTCACGTAAAGAAATTTCAAGCATAGCTTTCTCCATAGCTTGCTGAGTAATTTGAAAATTTTGCATATGGGCAACCATCTTTATACCAAGTCAATGACAAAATATTAAATTCATATCCAGTAATGTACGAGTAACAATACTAATAAATTGTTATGACTGATTGGAATAGTTTTCTTTATTAGCTAACTCGGCTAAAAGTCTTATATTATACAGTAACAGAGACAATTTAGTCCAAATAAAAAGATGATTTTAGCCTATTTATATTAAAAACAAAATCTATATTCGTAAATGATAAATATTTGAAATATGTTAATAATAAAGTCTAAGTTTTATTGTTTGGTTATACGTTCTTTATAAATGACAACCCTTACTAATAATAATTCCAAATAATACCTTCAACATTATAATAATTACGTTTAGTCGCTATCTTCAATGGACTATTTTATTTCAATTATACCTTTTAGTGTGTTAGTAAAATTACGCGTAATAATATATTAACCACTCACCCAGCAATGTTCTTGGCTGAAGGGTTACACAACCAGTATGGATGTACTCGATCAGTTGACGGAACACGTCCGGTTCAAATTCTTCGATGATCAGAGTCTGATGTTGTTGCGAAGACGGCTGTTATAAACATTGATTTTACATTAAAACTTTTGTCATAATCAAAGTATAAAGCTCTTTGAAAGTTACATGTTATTATTAATTTATAATTTTGTAGGCAAAAATAGGAGACACGAAAGTTTAAACTGAAAATTAAAATCTTTATAAGTAAGATAAACACAATTTCTGATTGAATTGTATGCGAATAAAAATATTGAGCTGAAACAGAAATATATTTTGTTACAAGAAAGATAATTATTGCCGTTTTTATTTTTAATACTTACGAAGTTTTATTAATATATTTCTGTAAGCCATTAAAAAGCATAAAAAAAATGAAGCTTTAATTAATCACACAATAAAACAATGAAGTACGATAAAAGACAAAATGCCAGTAATTAAAAAATACATTTCAATAACCTTATATTTTTCAGTATTGTGGTCAAAATAAATATATGTGTTGTTTGAAATAATTTCAATTTTATATAAACATTAATGCGGTTGACGAACATTTATTATAAGCATGCATAAGGGTGCTATTTATAACTGTATCTTGAGCTAATCATCGATTTTTAAGGAAGTAATGCCAGTGAATAGATGATACAACATTGATACATATAAGACTTGTTCTCAAGAAATATAAAAAAAAAATCCAACGAATACAAAATAATCATGCAATACAATCTCAGTGATGGAACTCGCCTAAGACAAAAACTCGATCCAAAAAGTAAGTTTTGTTACTCGTAGCCGAATCAAATCAGTCCTATCTACAAAAGTGTATTAAAAAAGTGAAAAATTTACAATATGAACACCGAATATTGAAAACCGATGAAATGAATGTTCCCTACAACACCGTTAATTTTGTTTTTACCTCTTGTATCGGTGCCAATTGCTGCGCGAAAGTCGATCTCTGCATTGAACACAGTAAAAACAATTTACTTTAACATTTCACGTCTTTTAGAGAAATGTTCGTCTTGCTTATAATCATTATTGTGTACTTTCACGTAAATGTTTTAGGAGCTCAAACAAACACCCCTCGCTCTGGCATTTACTTCTATTTTACCTATAAACATTCACGACAGTATCAACAATTCGAGATTTCTTTGGAAGAAACAAACGTTTGCTGATTCCTAAAGTAGTATCGGAGAACTCTTGAGAAAGAGGAATAAAGCAATAAAGTTGGTAGAATTCCCCGTAGATATTGGAACCTTTTTAGACGGCAATCATGCTCTCGATATAGCTTTAATCAAAGAAATTGAGAGTAAAACTCATATTGATTTAAGGGAAATGAATTCCTTTGTTATTATTATTAAGACTTTACTTTCAAATAACCTAGACTTATAATTACATATTAAGTCATGCTTATAGTTATTTTATTTAAATGTATTATAAGGAGAGTCAGGGATACATCTTGTAAAATTCTGAGAAATAATGTAAACAAATAAAAATAATTCCTTTTATTAATTTTTTGTATATTACAGGAGTTACACCTAAATATATTTATATTATGGTGATGGATGGATATATAGAATCAGAAGTATGATAATTCAGGTTATAAATTATTCATGTATATCATTTAGGATGGATGAACACGTAACATTCCCGTACAAACTAGTGTATTTTGATATAGGTTCGTAGTAAATCATGTAATTACCTGTTGAGCGGCATTTTGTAGATTGAGCAAGGGCTCGGACGAACGTTTCAGAAATAGGCGAAGCTTGTTCTCACGAGGTGCGGGCTCCTTCTTTCTTTGGGGACTCGGGGCTTGGTAAAGCATCTTTTGGAATACCCTGTTAACAAAAATAATGTTGTATATTAATAAAACCAGCAAATGTTAGTATATGTTCTCCTACCGCCATTTTTTTTATCGAGTTAAAAACTATCTTATATTTCAAGTTGGAGCGAATAACTATTTACCAAATTATATCGAAAATTTCTGAGCCATTTCAAAGATTAGCGTAAACGAACATAGATTACAAAATCAATTCATAAAACTTAGGTTAGATGTCGATTGTAATTTTATAACAAGTAATCACATTATGCTAGTATTATATAAAATCTTTCAGAAAGTTGTTTGTAAGAAGATTATGCTTCTATGATAGGGAGTTTTCGTAGCGCAATGAAAAACTTGTTAAATAATGAAATTGGAACGTAATATAATAAATGGAAATCGATTTCATTGACGACGTAATTGAGTCACCTAAAAATTTGAGGAATTGAAAATCTACTTTTTTTAAAAAAAAACAATAAAACTTACATTGTTTATTTCTAGCGAACCTAGCAAATTTTGACCAAAGATAAAGTGAGTAGGAGTTACAATCCTTATGATTTGATTAACGTCTTCTATACACGCACATAGGTTTTCAGTAAACCAACTTTTCCTTATAATTTTTATCTGCCACAACAAATTAGCTCTGTTCACGCTAAATTTCACGCATATTAGTTAATATCCTGTAGACAACTTAAATGTTTCTAACATTAATGCGGGCTACAAAGGGATACTTTGCATGACATCAGTAAATGTTAGGAATTTCTGGATCGCCGCTTTTATGAGTAAATTCTTGACATTGTATTGTACGAGGTCATTTAGTAAGAGCGAAACAAATATTTTTTGTTCTCATTGCGTTTTTTTTTTAACTTCTATATCAGCCGTTAACTGTCCATCGCTCGACATAGGCTTTTCCCTATTGCGGAGATTTGTCAGATGTTGCCACGTTGGTAAGCGGGCCAATAACCGTAGTTAGACTTTGGTGATGTTTCAAGACGAACGCTGCTGCCCATCCTTTGATCATTAAGTTCCCTTAGTTGCCTCTTAAGGCACCCATGGAAAAGGAAGTGGTGGCCCAATCTATGCCGGGACCACACAGTGAACTTTCGTCAACATACAATTTAGATATTTTATAATATGGAAAGTGGGAATTATTATTAAAATAAATCTTTTTAATATTAACTACTTTGAGGAGTGAGTACTTTCATTTACAATAATATAAAAAAAAAAATCAATTTCTTACTAAGCATCTTTCGTAAATGGCTTCAAAAATATCCATCGTTCCACAACATTTAGAACTAAGAAAGTCGAAGTACTGAAGAGATTAGAGTTCCCTATATATTTGGTAATTGCTATACCTACACAAGGTTTAATCTTTTGAAAGCTTTATAGTTGTAACGTAGTTTAGAACTTAACACAGTTTAACACAGGCTTTAAGTTTGATTTGTGTTTTATATTACTAACTGGCAGAACCAACAGATGTTGTCTTATCTAAATACTATTTTTTTATCTTAATCTAAAATCAATCCTAAATGTTTAAGGAAATACTTTAATTGAGATATTATTAGCTAAATAAAAATGTAATTAAAAACAATTTATGTAACTGTTCTAAAGTTATGACCCAGCAGTCATTGCGCTGACCATGTTTAAGTTTTTTTACCACCTATAATCGGACTACTAAGTCAAATAATTCTAGTAGTTCTCAATTGATGCATTTATTAATGGACAAAATAAAGTGTTCATTTATATAGATAGAATCAACATATATTTGTGATAAATGTGCAACCTTTCTAGTTGAACGCCTTATTGACATATAAAGGTCACTCCATCCCGAACTTCCAAATACCTACTACTAAATATCAGGAAAGCGTAGCATTTCTAAAGAATTTATACAAAGATTTAGCTACAGCTACTAGTTTAGAAAGGTCAATCAATTCTACTAAAGCACATAAAGTGAAAAGGTTGGTGATATCATTAGAATCCTTTAAACTAATGATGATGATAATGTGTTCTGATCATTTTTGATCACGGTGACCACTTTGGCTTCGCTATTATGAATTAATTATTTGCATAGAGGGCTCTTGTTGGCATTAGTGTGTTTGGATATGCTTACATAGACAATGTTTTTATTTTTTTTATTTTATATGCTTTTTTATTTTATTTGCCGAGATAAAGTTCTTTATTCATGGACGTTTACTTACAAAAGGTGGAGTATGGCCACTTTGATCAGCTATTATAAAAAATATAATAAAAAGCTACAATAGACCTGCTACGAGCAGCCAGTACGGCTTTAACCGCGCATACTGGCTCTCGCGTGTCTCCCACGAGGAATGTGACGTCACACAATTCAGGCATGGAGGCGAGGAACTTCATGTCCTCAGCCAAGCCTGACTTGTTCTCGAAGGTGCTGAGGTCGGGCTCCGCCTCCATCGCAGCTAACGCCCCGCTTCTCATTGACGACTGTAAAAAATATTATATTATTAGTTTTCCACACCAACTTGAATAAAATATAGCATAACGTTTTTGATCGTCTTAAACATAGCGTGTATATTTTTTTTAATGGATGATAATGGAATGAAAACTAACTAGCGCTAACGGTATATACTGACGGGGCACCAGTGAGGAATAATAGGTGAGGTTGAAGCAGATTAATGAGCATATAGTGACAAATTCAACAATAAACCAATCACGATGGTTTCCAAGAAGAATCGTGTGGAGGTCGAAATGATATAGTGTATTGCTAGCAATAGGGGTTATTAAGCCCAATTACTAACAATTCCTACTCCCCCCTAGCGTGTTTATTAAATGTCTTGAAAATTGGTTGAAAGTGAACTCGCCAAATATTTGTATTATGCGGAAATCGAACTTGTAATCATAGTAAGGTTTAAGTAGTAAGTTGTCAATTTGTTCCCACGATTATAATAATAATATTATAAGTGGTAATATTATAACATACGCATATCGAGAGTATAGGCATTTATTAGGTATTTATTTAATAGAAAAGTTGTTATAAATTTGTTCCATTTTAAGGCGTGGATTCTTTGAAATAGGCTCCTTTATGTTAACAACCTGAGTAATTGTGATTAAGCCTATCACTTCTAACAAAATTAATAAATTTCTAAAAGCTGTTTTCGGAGAATGCTTATTTTGGTAAGAATGTCACTATTTATTTAACAATGTATAATGTTTCAGGGATGTCAAATATGCTGTGATGCTCATAGTTCCATTCATAATTTGCCATTCTTATGAAAATTGTTGTAATTATGACTGTAATTTCATTGCTATATTTCATCTTTCACCCATGACTCGTGAAGAGCAAAATTACCTTATATGTATGTTAATACAGATGATGTATTGTGATGATGTAATCCATCATACTGTCTACCAAATTTCATTAACAAAAGTAACAAATATCTTTAATAACTTTATGATATTAGTAGACTAAAAGCTAATATTAATGTCTTATTTTTAAACCTACTTTACAACAGATGGTACTTATCGATTCGTCTGGATTTTACACAACTACACAGAAAAAGGAGTAATTGTTTTCAAGAGTTACGTGAATATGTTTGTCTATATCATTATTTGATTAGGCAGATCTAGTGGTATTTCGCAACTTTGCATGTCTGAATTAAGACAAAGTGTATCATTATTATTATGAATTATTTTTCTGTTGATTTTGGTCCTGTTTTTCTATACAAATTTCAAATATACATATATATACATATACATATATATATATATATATATATATAGATACGTCTTTATTATTGCACCCATGAGAAACAACAAGATGGTGGTAACTATATTCATTGCCGTGTAGGCCCGGTATAGAATTGGCCGAAGGAAGGGATCCTTTCTCGTAAGAGGCGACTAAGGGAACTAAATGGACTAGAAATGGGCAGCAATGTCTCTTTTAAAATATATATTGTTTTAAAGCTTAACTGTTGATCCGTCTACCAAGTGTGGCAGCTACTGTCAAAACACTTCTTATGAGAAGGGCTATGTTTAATAGTGGATAGTTAATGGCTGATATAATAAAAAAATCATTTACCATTGCTTCAAGGGAAACATACTTTTTAATATCTAGATTTATGCTATATTAAATGACAGAAAGTGTACGAATATTATGACGATATTGCAAAGACGAATAGAATAGCAGGACAGTTATGATGTGACATAAAATAATATAGCTCGTAAACTTCAATATGATACTTTACTCTAACGTATATAGCTTAGAAATATAATAATAATTTACATATTTCAAATGTACCATTATAGTTCAACCTTAGAAGACATTATACTTATGACCATGAATTTATGGGCTAATAAAAAAAATATTTTTTATGCTTTCACCCATCGATAAAACACAAAGGGCATAAAAGGAAAGTCACTTGGGAAGATGGCATAAAATGTATTGTGAATACTTTTTTAGTATGTACATAAATCGACCTCTTATTAATTGTAAAAAAAATAACCACACAATATTTAATGACGTATATATGTAAATAAGTAATAACATTTTTTTTACATTTAATACGCGTAAGAAAGGAATATTTGGCTACTTAAGACGGTACAAAATGAATTAAAAATTTTTAGTTTCGATAAATAATGTTATGTACTTTATCTATGATGTTTACCATAATAATAAATACCCATTATACCTTCCTCAGATCGTGCAAGCATTATACAGGTTGAATTGGGTAGCCTTAATATATGCATAATATGTATAATTTGCATAATAAAGTATAACGAATTGTTGTAATTACCTATACATTGAAGATTACATATCTTCGAAAAGATGAATATGGAATGGCGTACCGGCCTATTTTAAAATAGGCTATAACAGAGGATTTTTTTTATTATATTTTATTACAAAAACTAAAAAGGCGTGGCTTGACAAAAATATAACTCATTATTAGTAAAAGTTACTGAATAATTTGATCTTAATAATATAATTATTGAGTTTTGTTGTTTTTTTTTTAATTGTGTTATTCTTATAATCGATTTATTATAAAATTTCTATTCTTTGCCTGTACTTTTAATTGACCTGTCAAATCACGTCGTAGCGAAGTTTCGAGAAGGCTGCGTGAAAGTCGCCTTGATTGTATATATAGTTGAGTGAAGAAGATTATTAAAAATAGAGACCTAATTGTCAATTTTCAGGAATATATCCTATCAGATCGATCTCTAAGCGGTCTCCTTAGAAACAATCATGGTTATTTTCCAATGAACTCATTACAATGAATCAACTGACCTGACTTCAACCTCATGTATCTCTAACTAGTATTCCGCTAACGTACTCGTAAACCAATAGTGTAGGCGTAGTCTATTTAACTTTTATTTCTATTAAAAAGTCTCGTATAGAGTTTGTACTGTAGATAATATAAAACTAATAGAGACGCTTTTTTTATAAATTCATACTTATAATACTAATATAGAAAAATACCATAATATCATAAAATTCTTATAGTTTTACTACACTTGTTACTTTATTATCAAAATAATTATAAATTTATGACATACCTAGTTAACATAACCATTTTATTGAAAAATTACAATTGTAATGTAAAATTTCGAACAGGTGATCAGCAAAGCGGTAGCTCAACTAGTAAGAATATTGGCTCCAGCATGAAATAGAAGGTGTGAGTGCAAGTCTCGTCAGCTTCGAAATTTATCAATCACTTAATATTTATTGAAATATGATTTTCATATTTTAATAATATCAATTCGCAACCAATAAATTGCCATGCATTTAATCATAGGTACATAAAAAAACCTTTAAGATATATAAGTTTGTAACATCGTCAAAATTACTCTAATTGGTAGTTTTTAATTTAGTGTTTTTCTTGATGTAGCTACGGCGCGTTCGCAAAATTTCCAAATTTTGCATTTTGATTATTATTATTATTTCAGCCGTTAACTGTCCACTGTTGGATATAAACCTTCTCAATACGGGGAGAATGCTTATGTCTAATAGTGGCAAACACAGTTAGGCTTTTAAAGATATTTTAAGAGGGACGCTGCTACCCATCTCTCGCCCATCCATAATCTCTCTTTGCTTATAGTGCTAGCATTGCATGCATGCATTTTAACTATATTATAATTCTTATATGATGGCTAGTTTTATATTATTGCTCGTAACACCGCGCGATGCACGATTCTAGCATTACGATATAAAATGTGTGAAGCCATTTTTAAGTTAGCTTTTACCTCTACCATTTCCACATTTCGTGTACGTTCACAATGTCGTGGTGAAAAATTAAAAGCGTTTCCATACAAATTTAAATACTTTATTCTCTTATTATATCGTGGCGATAAAATCGTGTATGATACTATGTTGTACAGTTAATTATAAAGTCGCCCTATTACTGTTACAATATCACGAACATGTATCGTGATAATATTATTCACGAATTCGAAATGTATAAGCATCTCCATATATAATTGTTGACATTTTGTTCTCTTATTATATTGTGACGATAATATCATATAATATCCTACTACTGCTACAGTAATTTGGCAATTAAAAATTATGATAATATTTATTTGTCCAAAAACGTGGTATTAAAATGATAATAGTAATATGTTACGAACATGCATATTTTGGAAAAAAAGGCATGCAAAATGTAGGTACAATAATAATAGTAAACAATTGGCCTTAATTAATGAATAATTATAATTTAAACACTAAATAAAATAAATAAATAAAATTGTGTATTTTGCACTTAGTCACTATTTAAGGATTTATTAATTATAAAACTTTTCTTTATTTGACCATTCATACAGCTTTATTAATACTTTAAAGCTTTAAAAAAATTACAACTAAAATAAAAAAAAAATGATAGAAAAAGTACTCACTTCATCAAGACTATAGTGTCTAGTTATTGTAATATCCATGGTTGTAAAATAATTGATAGTTTTAATGTATGATATATTAAGTTACAAACTGATAGCTACGTTATAAATATATGTACTTAAAATCACTATACAGACAACCACTCTCCGTGGCGCTCTCCCGTCGACTGGAATGAAAAGGAAATTGAACTGACGCGTGACTTCACGCAAAATGAAAATTGGTGGTCCAAATGTAAGCTTTCGGTGGTATCGATAAATTAAATTTATTCACACAAAACAAAATAAACTTATTTGATGAATTGGTTAATTGGTTATTTGATTAGAATTATTTTCTTTAATTTAATCGCTACCATTACTATGTATGTGACTGTCAACACTCGAAGGTTGATCACCACTATTACTACCAAAGTTCTAAAACCTTCTATATTAGCCATTAATCTCCGACTGTCATTTTGACAAATAACTTCTGCAAAGTGTTATGTGTGTGTATGGTGTAGTGATATGAACTTGTGTGATATGAACTTCTACAAGATACAATACTCGTAACTTATCTAGTTCAGTAAACGATTGATGATTTATCTTGTAACATTATTGTTATTAATATTTATGAGAGTAGGTTTGTTTATTGATAATTTTATTAGGCTACCTGGCATGAAATAGTAATTAACACAAATTTATAGTGTCTAGTATTTAATTACTCATCGATTGATATACTCAAGTAAATTCAAGTGTAAGTTTCTAATAGTATGGATAAATGAAATTTGTTCCACGAAACAGTGATATTAATTGTGACGAAATTAGTATAATATTAATATGAGAACAAGTAAAACCTATCAATCGCAATAATAATTACCAAAGTTGGTTCATAATTATCGAAGTTATATACAAAAAGAAAAATGTCATACTGATAATCTCTTTTAAAGGAGCTTAAGAATGAAGTACATTTATTTGTATTTTAATAATGATTTATTGTCATATTTGTGTTCACCAGGTTGTGACTTATTTGTGGAATTTATTTATTTATAGAAATATTTATTATTATTTAAAACAAAAACGAGCATATGTAGGTAAGCCATCAGCCAGATAGGGCATCTCGTTGAATTGATTGCATTTCTAAGAATCTTAATAAAAGGTAAATATTTATTTCAACTGCAAGATTTTAATAGGTAAAACATTTTTATGCTGATATTACCAGAGGTATTTATACTACTGTTATTGTAACAAATAACGTAATAAGTAAATAAATAACAATATACATTTTAAATTACATTTCACCCTATTTTAAATCTTACAAACATATTTTTTCAAAGAAACACTGATCATTAAATATTAGTTTTAGCTTTTTATACCAATACCGCGCCTCGAGCTGACAGGTTAGTATGGAGAGTTACAAATTTGATAACGTTTGTTGATACATATTTCTTTGGAAAATATGTTCAGTTGCATAAGGTGAACACTCCCATAAAAGGAACGCTAATGACTTTGATTTCACTCTGTATATATAAAATGATCACAAATAATTCTGTTATACGCTCTTCGCTTTTAATTCAGTTCGGTATAGTGAAAAGCGGAGATGCATACAAATTCTATAACTAAGTTTACGACGAGAATTGTATTATTGTAGGCCAAAGGACTTTTAGAAAAAAGGAAAGGAAAAGCGACTTTGTAAATGTATTTACCATAAAATATAGAATATCTTGAAATAAATGTAGTAACGTAGTAAGGGTAATGAACCCTTATAAATGTTTCATTCCTATATGACTAAAATGTTTTTAAGTAAAATATTTAGAAGGATTATTGGCCCTTAACTTTTAAATGGGTACATACTAGTTTATTTTGTTTGCTCGTAACACTTTATTGTGCGGTGAAGTTTTAAACTATAGGATACAGAGTTCTTAAGGAATAAATAAGAATAATAGTGGACTTATCTCATAAAAGGGATTTCTTGTAGTCAATCTTTAAATAATCTTTTCTTTTATACGACAAAGGTGGCAAACAAGCATACAGTCCGTCTGATAGTAAACCATTACTGAAACCCATGGACGCCTGCAACACCGTCATGTCACGTGCGCGATGTCGACTCTAAAGAAACCTTAATATACTCTTTCTGAATAACCCTATATTGTAGCCTGTAGGAAAAACCCCGACAGGGAGATCTATTCCACAGAGCGTTCGTGGGAGAAAATTTCTCTGAAACTGCATTGTACGTGACTATTTAGGCTCAAGCTTGTGAGGATGAACTTCCTGTCGATGACGAGCGGTGCGATGATAAAACGTGGCTTTAGGCATCATTTCAAATTAAACAATTCCTCAGAACACAATCCGTTTTACAAGCGATAGTACACACAGAGAGAGGCAAAAACGCCTTAAACTTAAAGACTCGTTACCGTCTCTGAGTGGAGCAATTGTGCCACAGTAAATGAGTTTATATAGCGGTGAATGCGCAAGCTTGTCTAAGATAGGTTAAATTGGACTAAGTTTATGTCTGATAGAAATTGTGAATTAGTGAAGAAAAAAATTTGCTAATTTAAAAAAAAAAAATAGAAATATACTACATGTTATAGTTACAATACGAGTACAACATTGATACTGGAAAACATAACACATGTAAATGATACCTAATACAACTAAAAGGATTATATCTCTATGCATATTACTTCTAATATTGTAAATAGTTGTGACCTTGACTACGTTATACAATTAATCCTGTTCGAAATTTTCGCACACTTTCATCTTTATTATTTATTAGTTAATTATCTCTACTTGAAAATAGACGATTTTGAAAAAAATAACAATTTTGCCCTTTTCGAATGTAATTTCTGGACATTCTATATTCTATTGTTAACGAAATTTTTTACTGTGAAAAATTTTGTTATAATTTATGCACGAATGTTGCAGAGTTGCTTGACCTTCATTTCAATATTATGTGATCTATTTGATTTCGATAAGTTAATTTAGATTTACCCGAGTATCTATCTCCTTTCATTTGCACATTACGTGGTTATTATGTTTCTCATTTCATATTCTTTTAACGTACTTTGAACCAACCTGTCTCTTCTTATTCGTACACCGAAACGAAGATATAAAATTACGTGCTTTAACATAATTTTGGTAGTAATGCACTTTATCATTTTTTTTCATGAATGACACAAATTTTGATAAGCAACTTTTGTATGATAACAGAATAGTAGAAGATTCGAATAACAGTAATGTCATTCGCATTCATCATATAAATTACTATAATTAGTGTAGTAATGTAATCAAACTTTTAGAATGTAAAATGTAATAAACAGAAATAAAACAATTAGTAAAAGAATGTGACGATTTACAAAGTATATTGATGAAGTATATGATTTATGTAAACAAAAAAGTCTATATTTATTGTCACCTACATAATCTGTTTTATTATTGACTTCCCTTACTTGCCAATATGTAGGACACTAGCAGCGACCTGTAAGCGTTTACTACACACCCAATCAAGGGATATCGATTTTGTCTTACTAATGAAATTTTGCATAAAAATGCATAAAATTAATTAAGATCTCACATAATAACACAACATTACCGGTGATTATAATATGTAACGTAGTACATAAAACCTTTAATAAAATATATTTCTTTTAAATATTTATACCCGCTTGTGAGTAAGGAACGTTTTTTTTACGCATCGTAAATCGGATATTGATCTTCTTAGAAAAATACGTTAAAAGCAATGAAGTATTATGCTTATATTTGTAAAAAGCAAATGAAAACGTTTGCACGAATAAATAATTAAGTGACACCTAGTCTGCGACAAGCCAGATGTTTCACCCACGCAGTTTGTCTTGAGTAACGCCCACTTCAGTTGTACACCTATACGTTCGTTATCAGTCAGCTATGTACAAATATACAGTTATCAGTTAACTTACCTCTTGATATGTTCCCCTTACAGCGCAATTAAACAATGCTCAATTAAATGAGCATTATAAAATATATTCACACAAGGGAAACGAAAATTCTTCTGAAGCCTGACTATTAATGAGAAAATATCACAAAGGTCATCTACATAACAAAACGCAAATGAAACGCTAAAACTAAAACTAATCGCTAAGTTAACTTTTATACGGTTATAAGACCATAGCAAAGTAATTTAAGCTTATTATTGAAGCTTGACAGATTTTGTAACGCGAAACAACAGAATGTACACAACAGCAAGAATTGCAAGTACGCATGTGCAAGATCCAAAGCGCATGCTTGAGTTTGACATCAATATGACACCGTCTCGACAGAAGGTCGCTATTCAATGGACGAAGGTGAAACATGAATGAAGCGAGACAAAATAAAGTCTATATATTCAATTGTCAATTTATATATCTCGATATGTAAAGCTACGTGATGATTATGTTTTGAAGAGGGTTGGTTCTTTGACATTGAAATGTCGAAGTAATAAATATCAGGATGTAATTGCAGTTTTATATATTGATTTACATATTAAGGCAATTAATCGACAAGGACGCAATCGATTTTAAAGGTCGTGATTTCGAATCCGACTGATATCAAAATGTTGTCTGAATTAAAATTTATTACTATCTATTCACTAATGGAAAGTTTTTTTTAATTAACGAACTTAATCTAAGTGATAACGTTAGATTCTCTGCTACTCGTTTGATATTATTATACTCAGTAAAATACAGATATTTCACTTTTATCATGATAATGCTCTAAAAATTTCCTATTCTATAATCGTAAGTATATAATTTGTTTATTAACCCTATATTCGTCTATGTATAAGGGAATATAAAATCTAATTATTTGATATGTGAGACATCTAGACAGCAAATGTTGACACTATGTAGTGTGCCGCTCTGTCTTACAACTTTATTTGCTTTCAAACCTTGTAGCAGTTTTTGTATTTGTTAGTTAGGCGGGCGGAAACACAACAAGTTTCTAAGTGTGTATTCTAGATGGCGCTTTTCGTATAATTATCTAGTCTATTTTACAGTGAATAAACAACAAATAAAAACAAAATGTACAAGTTTCAAAAGTCATTTCTACATAATTAATATCCAAATCGTTCTAATATTAGTAACCAATACGTTATTTCCGAATTATTACTTTTAGTTATTTTTAGAACAATATTATATTATTACATTACATTCTTTAACAATGTAGATATTATTAAGTAATGTATTTTAATTTATTTTGTAATTATATTGTGATCAAATTCTAAATGTATTTATGACATGTTATACGTACATTACGTTTTAAGTTACAAATATTACTTTTACACACATAATAATTTTTTAATGGGTGATAATGCTCCATTTGTTAGAGAAATTTGTGTGGTGGTTTTTCCATTTGCCTTCCACACCGTGGTATATCAGCCAGAGTTACTTGCCTGCTGATATCTGGTCAAAGGCATTCCCGAAATAATTTCTTCTCGCAGAAAATCATAGTGAGTGGCAAGAGTTCCACCGATAAGAGCGCAGTTCTTAAATAGGATAGATAGATATATAGAATGATGATGGAATGACAACCTCGCCCGCACTAACGATATATCATACACTAGCGGGGTACCGGTGAGGCACCACAAGTAAGAATGAAGTCAGTTAGCTCATCGTGATCAATACACCTGGGATCCAGGAGAGACCACGTGGAGATCGACCTGACAGGCTATATTGCTAGCAATGAGGCTGGTAGTCTGCATTAATAAAAATCAGTCTCCCTCTCTTCATAATAACATTAATACAATTAAAAGGGAGACTTCTTTAGACTGTTGTATTGTCTTGTAAAATCTTTATTGTACATACTTTACATTGGACACATTCAAAAGATTTAATATAGAATAGCGGACTTATCCCGTAGAGCTAACTTTTACAGATAACTTTTAAGAAGTTGTAAGAGAACTATATGGTATTAAGGATTTATATTTGATTGTCTTTTAAATTTAATTTAAAAAGCTAAACACGTTCTTATATCTACATAATTGACATACATTGACTACTCTATTATTTATAGAAATTTGATAAATACAAGTACATATTTCAAAATAATCATGATAAATACGTGTATGAGAATTCAAATTGTTCAATCAAAGTAGATGCACGGGCGAAATTAAACCTTCACTTAAATATATAAGCTAGCACGTACATACATCAATGTCTTACCCGTACATACGCTCCATTACATAACTAATCGTATTGGATTCTGCACTGATGCCTCTAATTAATAGTGAGGCACTGCACACCCTACTAGTCCGCCCGGGTTTCCTTTAAGGAGAACAATAATTCAAATAAATGTTTATATATTAATATTATTGCCAGCTTTTACCCACGACTTCATACGTGTATTTATATTGATACCAATGATGATATGATTAAAATACTGATATGATCATTGATAGACATAAAACGTAGCCTATTTTATTATTATTATATCAGCCGTTAACAGTCCACTGCTGAACATAGGTCTTTGCCATAAGGGGAGTTTAGCAAGTAAAATCCGTGTCGTAAAAGGTGACTAAGGAAACTTAACAATCGAAATATGTGCAACTGCGTTCTTCTTAAAAAATACTTAAAAATCATAATATCAAATAATAATATTAATGCATGTCATATCTTTGCCAATATTATAAACAAACGCAAGTAGATACTTATTTTTTTTTATACAACTTAGAATGGCAAACAAGCTGACGACCCACCTGATGGAAAGTGGTAACCGTCGCCTTTAGACATAAGCAGTACCATGGACATAATAGAGTATACTGTTTCGCCCATGATACCTCCCATGCGTTGCTATTCCTGAGGACTCAGATGTTATTCCTCTGTACCCTGTAAATTCACGCCATATCAAACGCCCTTCAAACCGAAACACAGCCATGCAAACGCAACTGTTTCACGGTAGAAACACGAATGAGACAGAGGTACCCAAGCAATCGACTTTTGTACAAAGTCTCCCTGAACTTATACTGTTAAACTACATAAAATAATATAATAGAGGAAGTGTTCTTCATATTAATTACAATTCGATATTGCCATGGCCCTCTATTATTTTATACCACTGTGTGCCAGATATATTAATCCCCTTTACAGGTTCTAGGAGCCGGGTATACTTCAATGTCTCACCGTCAATGTGACGTGACCCCATTTCACGGTTAATTGCACCGGATGGTACTTTTTTATACCTCTGTTCTTTTGTAAATCGATTACCAATATTTTTTATTGTAATCTCTTTTATGCCATCTTTCAGTATGTATATATTTGAACATACGTATATAACTTAATATATTTGAAATTAAAACATAAAACCTTGCTCGTCAGGAATTGCAACGTATGAAGGGTGTCATGAGCGACACAGTATGCTTTGTTATGCCCACGGAACTGCTCATGTATATAGGAGACGGCTAGCACTTTCCAGAAAGCGGGCTGTCACTTTCTTTGCCATTTAAAGTTACATTAAAGAAAAATAAAAGTTTTTTAAAAAACAATTATTTAAGATATTATTATTATAAAATACAATGAACAGATTGATAGAAAATTTGCCTATTTCATGTCAATTATTATAATAGCGCCTAAGTACAAGCCTTTCAGATGTCGAAATTTAGATATCTGCATGGAAAAACAGAGTGAACGGAGCTTTCCTTGTTTGTATTGTCTGATGAGATGTTTGCGCTGTAAATAAGACCCGTATTTATTCAATATGTTCCTCTCCTTTTATATTCTGGGCCCCATAAGTAAGGATTTTGGGTTTCAAATAGATATTGTTCGTAAATTCAATTAATTTTATTCTTATTTAAAGAAAAAATATATAATTCTTTCGAAAGTATGTTTAAGTACGTACTTATTTATTTTAACTATCTGTCTGCCCTGGCTTTGCATGGGTGTAATTTTTTCACTTTTTCCTTCGATTTTTAAACACATTTTTTGTACAAACATTTTCTTGATATTTAAAAATACAATAAAAAAAAAATAATGAGTCAAATAGGTGCAGTCCTTTTAAAGTGATGCATTTACATACCTTTGAAAATTCATTTTTATTTATGCCCATAAAGTAAAAAAAATATGACGATGTACGATAGGCCAGCTTAATTCTGCAAGAGTTCTAGCAAAGTCAAAGTGTAAAAAGACATCAATTATTAGTATTTGTCAAGTGAATAAATATAGTTACATTATTATAAAATAATTAAAAACAAGAATAGTAGTAAATACATAGAGAATTGAGAATAAAGGTGCTATTTTTAATCTATATAATAATAAAGTATTTTTGATATTGAGATTAGGGGCAAAACCAAGTATATATTGTTACGCAAAAAAAATATTGACATCACTAGTATTTTAAAATAAATTACATATTCGAAGAACGACGCGATATTTTATAAACAATTTAGCAATTTAATTTTGAAAATATTTGAATTTAGAACGCGGAATTCATCTAAAATCTACAAGTGGATTTTATTCGGCAAAAAAAATTTGTAACATCAATAATAACAAATATCCCTGTTGTCACAGCCCTTCATAAAATTGTACTCTATTTATATCTTTTTACAATAAATAACTGTTTGTTTTGTATATTATATACTATAATATAGACATGCTCATGAATAAAGGTTCCCGTTGAGTCTGAAAATAATAGGGTAACCCCGAATTTATATACGCAAAGAAAATATAAATAATTATAACGATAAGTATGATGTTTAACAAAAAAAAAATCAATTATAACAGTAGTTACGATCTTACAGTATGTTGGAAATATTTTAATTTAGACCACAGAATCCCGTCTACAAGTAGATTTTGCTCCGCAACTAGCGGGTTTTTAACACCGTAAAGAAAAATGATTACTCCAATCATCCTAATAATTGCAAAAATAGTTGTGAAAATTAGTTAAGTATTAGTGACGTAATCATGCAGCATAAAAATAAAAAAGTTAGAGTGAATTAAAAAACTCTTACGATGTTGCTTGACAGAGAAAGTGACTGGCTAAGCAACATACATCTGAAACTGGTAAGTCTAGAGATACCAAACATTAGGATCGATTCCGAAGCACTACTACTCTAAAATTATCTCTAAATTTTGAAATTTAATATCACAGCAAAGTCTTTATTCTAAGTATTAATATGAACAGAATTTCTAATAGATTTAAAATTGTTATCAACTGAGTTTTTTTAACGAATAACAATGAAATGGTATCCCCGCCTACGCTATCGGTATACA